CAATTTATAAATACTCTCCAAAAGGTGCTGCAATGGCAGATGCTGACTGCCTTCCCCATTCATTCATTTACTCGTTCATTCAGCTTTCTGTGCAGCAGAGTGACTTTACAGAGGAACACCACACTGCAGAGGGAGATCTGCTGCCTCTGGGGCTCTGCGCAGCCCTCTCATCTTGGTCTTCCCCACAGCAAAGGGAAACGCTTTCCTCAGAGATTTTTTTGTCATTCCTTACGAAAAGAATGCGTTTTCAGTACAAGCTCAAAATGCTCTGAGCTACTTGGTGAAGAGATATTGCAATTTTTGCCACCCGAACAGATAAAGTTGTCCCCAGCCAAGTACATTAGAGTTGTCAGCAGGCAGAGCAAACCGGATTAGCGATTACAGGGGATGCTATCTGCACCTGGCAGCGGTGATGTGATGAATGAGGGAGGAATCACCAAGTGAATGCTCCTGCTCCAATATGCGGCAAGAGAGGGAAAGGGGAAAGCAAGCCTACCGACTCAAAAACTCAAGATTTGAAAAACTCACACAAAAAGATATACGAGACTCCAGAAGGACTTCATCTATGTCCCCCACTTGCTCCTGCAGTGATCCTTTGACTGGTTATTACAGCAGAAATGGTGCATTTCCAACTGTAACAGTATTTCCTTACGTAGCTCTGCAGGTTGGTAAATCTAAGCACAAACACTAGGTGCTGTCAAATTTTGGCACAGTTCATATCTGGATCTGAACTTTGAACCAAAATGAAAACCTGAGACTCAGCTGTATTTCCCACTCTGGCTAACCAGGATCATCATCACTGTGAATTTAAGGGAGACAGATCTTGCAGAAACACATTACAGCAGTGAGTGCCCAGTAGCTGAGGGGTAGGTGACTCACACAACAATGGGTTTTTTTCATTCAGAAGAGCTTTGCCTGCGTTGTAGAATAACGAACAAGCACACAATTCTCTGAAAAGAGGAGGTGTGCTACAGGACACAATAGGAAATGGATTTGAGTAGGAAATAGATTTTGCTGAAAATGGAAAATGGCAGCTGGGAAGCCTTGATGTTAAAAACAAGATACTATGCAACCTACCAAAATTCAGAGAATGGAAAAAAGCCACAGCACCTCCTCCTTTGTCCCTTGCAAGTGGCTTATTCATTTTCATCTTCAAGTGTCCTGCTCAGAGCATGTAGATCCAAAAGTATCTCACTGAACACTATCAGTAAGAAATAGTGCTGTTGAGAGGATCTTTCCCAGGCCAGACAACATCAGTGTTTTTTCCTGCTTCAAATGTGGAAGAAGAATCCCCATAGTGTCAGAAGGGCTGTCAGATGGTCTGAATCCTGAAGTGTTCTCCAGAAGATGCACAATTGAAAGTCTATTAAAGAGTTAATCAACCAGATAATTTCAGCATATGCTTGGAATATTCCAGCATCTTTTCCCAGTTACTCTGACAGATCAACTAGGAACATGCTAATACTGATAAATCTTAGTCATTTATAATACAGCATTCCATGTAAACCAATCTAATTAATACCATCGCCGCAAAATAAAGAAAAAAAGAGAAAAAGAGAAGAAAACCAGCACCAGGATGGAGCCCACTCAGTACTGGCTGCTGGGCACTAGCTACTAGTGGCTATACGCTGTCCTCAAGAGAACATAGGAGGTGGTGTAAATCTGTTGACTTCATTCAGAAGCAATATTCTGTGTTACCAAAGCAGCCATACTACGGTCGTGGCCTCGAAAGGTCAGGCAGGATGTGAGCTCCATTGTTTTCCCTATTGCACAAACACAATGTTCAGCCCTTTGGGGTAGAGCCCCTGTCAAACATTTGTGCTTTTTGACAATGTGTTCTGTAGGATATTTGTTTTCAGAGTTGCAGGCTGTACACATATACAAAGACAGTGCAAGAGAGGCATGCTTACCACTACACCTTTCTGCAGTGGTTAGACAAATGTATGATTCTTTAAAAAATGAGCAATTCACAATAATTGTATTTTCAAGCTGCAGATAACTAGCTTTGTAATACATGTAACAATGTCGTTCCCCTGGGATGGCACCTCTTTCCTTTGACAATGTGGTCTTAGGTTTTATTCCAAATGCATGTGTGTATCAAGAGCACTGACAGATCCTGGCACTCAGTATGGCTGGGTTTCACCCCTCCATACTTAAACCTAGTGAGAGTATGTGTGGTTTACAGGAAATCTGTCCCATGTTTGTATTTACTAATAAGTAAATGAGGAAGTTTCTCATCTGAAGATACCTTCACCTGGAGAAGCAAGAGTGGCAACTGCAAGTGTTACACCGGGGAAAATAACAGCATTGTATCTCTTGGTCATAAATATAAACTGAGCAATGCACGTCACTGGGAATAAAGCTAGGCTAACAGGCTACCTACTAAATATGCTACTGCTATCAGTGAAAAAGGTGAGAAATAGTTGCAGCTAGGAAGGAAATAACTACCTCTGATCCGCCCTGACAGCAACTTGACAAATGCTAATCGGGACACCCGCGCCACTCACACACTTTATAAGGCTGGTAAATCCAACTGCGGGACATGTGAACAGAACTGTATCCCAGGTTTCTGGATGCACCACTGTGACTGTGTGCTCCAGCTGGAAGAAAGCCAACAGTTCTTCAGGATTCCTTAGCATCTTGAGGTAATTTTAGCAGAACAAGAATCACAAAAGCATCAGTGAGTCCTGAACATTCCTCCAGGACAAAAAAAAGAAAAAAAAAAAAGAAATCTCTTTCTTCATATAAGTCCATTGAAACATTTCATATAGCCCTTTTAATCCCTCTTAACAGATTTGTTTTATCACAGAGAGAGGAGCTAATCCTCTCCCACCTGTCTTTATGATACGGAACCATAAACAAGAGCAAGTACTTTTCATTTGTTAAGCATTAACCTCCCCCCGGATAACACTATCACCCACACTAGAATTAGTGTAATGAAGCTACCTTTAGCCCAACACATGAACTCTCCAATTTTCACCCTAACAATATATTCTTGCAGCAAGGAACATGGAAACTTAACATGCTTCCCAAACTCATCTCTTAGCACAGTTTTCAAGGTGCTAAGCAAACACAGACCTGAATCCCAGCCTGCAGAAGCTTCCCTTTTTCCTTCCTCACAGACTCTACATGAGAAATTTCAGCACTCTGCTGCATACAACCAGATGGCCAGCTTGTTCAAATCCATCAGTGACCTATACAATTAGGTTAGTAGGTCAGCTGAACTTCTTGCCTAATTACACATGTCCAATCCTTTTACACACCAAGTGCCTTTTTTTTTTTCTTCCTCCAAAATAAAAGTGATCTGAAAATGGTCAAAAAATCATTATCATTTGCACTGTAACAGCAACTGGACCTCAGACAGTCTGACTTGTGGAAAGTAACCTGAGCAACACTGACAAGTTCTGAAGAACTCAGTCTCCCAGTCACCAAAATTTCCATTACCATTTGGCAAGTCTGTTCAGCTCCTTACATGACACTGTATCTCTAGGTGGACATTCCAGTTACTGTATTGTAGGAAGTAGAACTGACCATAATGCCTGACCACTTTGAGCAAATTTAAAATAGCTTCTGTCTCTCCAAGTCCTGGAGGCTTCTTCGTGCATCTGTCAGCTTGCTTAACGCCACCACCCCCAGAAAGACACCCACTTGCTCTCACGTGATCCTAATAGGTTCTTACATCACAGAAATCTGCCCGAGAGGACACATACACTTCCATACATTAAGGCAATCAATCCTGAGTTCTGAAGGACCCAAGAGTAAACTCAAATATAGATATACATCAAATACAAAAGATAGAGCATCTACAACAATCTGTTACTTCCACTGCCTCAACACTGCCTTCCCTAGGTTCACAGCACTTAGAGTAACAATTAAGACATACAGTGAACAGTTATCTTCTGAATCTGCATAGGTCAAATGTTCCTCCTAAGAAACTGCAAGTCCCCACTTCAGGTACTTGGCTGGAAACGAGAGGCAGAGGCCAACAACGTATATTTCTTTCCTCGAAGAGGAAGAACCTGCACCATTCCAAGCAAGCTTACTCAATGCAGAGCTGGATTGTATCCAGTTATGGAAATGTGCTTGGCTCAGTATTTTTGATGGTCAATACATAGTCTTAAAAACAGTCTTATCTGACCAATGGTGACTGTTTGACAAGGATTTCATTGTCTCTCGAGGGCTGTTTGCAGCTGCCACTGTTGGAGAAGTATCAGTGATAAGGAAGTAGTTCAAAGTGAGTCACTTACTCCTCAGAAACATTCTTTTCTTGGCTTTGGTTCATCTCAAGAAGAACAAATCTTGGAAAGCAGATTAAAGTACACACTGCCATCCCACCAGCTTCCTCTCCTGTAAGTTCTGTCATGTTTACATGCAGGATTACCAACTGTATTCCACAAAGCAAATGGTTTCTTAGAAGCATTCATATTACAATTTCACTGCATACCTTGAAGAAATCATACAAGCCATTCAATAAAGAACACAACTTCCAGTCAGCTCAGACAACACTGGATCGAGTTCGATGGAGTTAGATACAAAAGCCCAGCTTACTCAAATCATCAGCGTACTGCGAGTTACAACAGCTTGAGTATGACAATTCAAAGCAGCGAGATTTCAAAATGCAGTGACACGTTTGTCAGATTATTACTATGCTCTTTAAGTGGAGTTTCTCTAGAACCACTTTCCTGGAATACCACGTGCAATTACATCCCTTTAATAAACCTTTTGCTTTAAAAGAATTGCGAGGTTTGCCTTGACCCACACGGACAGAAGAGTGAATGGGGAAACCTCTTAATGAAAAGCTTTTTTGTTGAATACGTGTTAAATGGCCACAAACAGCCGTGACACTTGGGTCACCCTTAAGAGCCTTTAATTTAAAGACAAGGTAGACTCAGTTGACATTGGGAAAACTATGGGAAAAGAGCCAAGCAAGCCACACACATAGGTACGTTCCCATATGCATACACAACCTTCAAAGCTAGCAAGCTGCAGAAACACAAATGTTGTTTTATATCCTGCCTCTTGGTTTTTATTTAGATTTGAGCTTAATAGGTTCATTGCTTCAACTGACATACAATTTAACCAGCCAAGAAGTTCCATGGAGGAAAATTTAAAGTACTTTTACATGTTAATTTGGAATTCTTTAAAAAAGGAAAAAAAAAAAAAAAAAAAAAGAGAAAAAGAAAGAAAAACCCTTGAAGTTATGGTTTCCTCCTTCACAAATGAATGTCCAAACGCTGTTAAGTAAACAGGGCCTATACCTCCTGGCACCGTCCAGCACAATGCATACATCCAATTGCAAAACCTTGCTTGACAAGTAGTTAGCAAACTTAAAATTAGGTAAACTAAACTAGAGCACAGACTAGTGGTTTTGAAGTAACAACAGGAAGTTACTTGCTACCTGATATCCCACCAGGAAGGAAAAATAAAAATAGAAATCAAGAACCCAGAATATGCACGAGTAGCTCACAACTTCTTGTTGTAACAAAAGAACTCAAGAGCCATTTTCATTAATTAATATATTTTCTGCATTATAGTTAACATATGTACTTTCTTCGTGTCATCCTTATTTCGTTAAGTATTGATATTTTGTTATATCAGACATGAGTACATTTTCAAAGTTTTTTTGCAATAAATATCATAAAATAATAGAGATTCACATAATAAATATTCTTTACAATAAAAAAAGTTTTAACAGACTTTTGTCTTAAAAATAGTTGGGATTCAACTTTGTGTTTTATACATAAAATATACAAAAAAGGACCACAATTTGTGGCTAAGGCAATAAAACAGGGAACAGAATAAAATTATAAAGTACAGAGCAGAGCTAAATCCACTAAACCAAAGGATCACGAGAAACATTAAAGATTTGAGAACATTTAGGTGACTCAATGACACCTGAAGGCTGTCTGGATACATGAACACCACCAACTTTAATATCAGCATGATACTGATGGACTAAAACAACAGGAGAAGGGTGGAGTGAGCAATATCCTTCAAACATTTGACAGCAAGAGAAAAACAAGTACAGTTGCAGCCATAATGTCTCCAATGTGAAGATCTACACAGTGTAGCAAAAACCAAAGTTGTGTTAGGAAAGAATTAAAAACAAAGCAATAGGAACAATTGGCTAACTCTCAGGACTGAGAACATTGCAAAAGTCAAAAAAGGAGGAAAACAAACAAACCAGAAAGCAGGCTGCTTACTGAAGAATCAGGCCTTTTGTTTGGTAAAGCCTTACATCTCTCTCCGGAAAGAACACAGACAAGAAGTTATTTCACAATCCAGCTCACTCATGAGAGTTATTCCGTGGAGGTACCCAAGGGGGTCAGAGGAAAAAAAATATATAAATTGCTGAGAATGAAAAACATCTTTGGGAAGATATTCAGAGCAAGAAGCTGCAAGAGCCAAATTAGCCCTCACTGTCTCTTTCAGGAGTGGTTCAGTTACAGACTCAGAAGACCCTGCCAAAGTGGGTGGCAGACACAGATACCAAAAGTCCACACTTACCAAAGAGCAGCAAATGACTATACGTAAAACACTCCACACTCAGTTGACTCAATTACAGGAGGAGAACAAAGATTCAAAGGGAATAACTTGTGTTTTTGAAGGAGGGGGGGGTGAAAGAAAGCAGCCCCCCTTACGCACCCCTAAAGGGGGGAAGGGAAGAAAAAATATTTATATATCAGCTACAACCTGAAAAATCAAAAGTTGGAGGAAGTAAACCTCCCTCCAAAAATCATGACGGCTTGCCCTGACCCCGGGAGGGGCAACTCTCCAGTTTACAATAGACAGTGTTGGAGTTCTTGCATCGGCAGCCCGGACGATTGACGCGGTCGTAACACCCTCGACACAGTTTTAGGCATCCTTTTGCAGGAGGGTAACAGAGCAAGCAAGGCAAAAACAAGGACATGGCTCCCATGCACAGGTACCTAGAACAGCAATGTGACTGGGAGCAAGAGCAGGGATTATCCGCGTATGAGTCCCCTTCATCGTCGTTAGAACAGTGGTAGAAGATCCCTTTGACCAAACACATGCAGGTGCCATACTCCACCATGCTCTCCGCCGAGCACAAGCACTGCCGGTTGCAGGCCAAGCAAGAAGGCAAGGCCCTGGGGGCTGTGCACTCACCACACTTGCACTTCCCACACTGTTCGCAGATAAACTTGTGCTGCGTCAAGTCCTCTTTCAAAGGACCCTTCAGATCATCTACAATCAGCGACGACTGCTTGGGTTGCGTCTGGATTGTCCGCTCGGACCTGTGGCCCGGCCACGATGCAGGTGACCGTCCCAACAGTCCTTGCTCCGAAGAAGCACTGCTGTTGCTCCCAGAGCTGGCCGCGCTCCCCGTGCTGGTTGATCTGCTCAAAACAGGGACCCTCGCATTATGCTGATGTGCCACGTGCCCCACGTGGCTGGGTCTGTGTTCATAATTGTTATTCACATTAATCGGTATGATCTCATGAGTCCTTTCGTGCTTCTCTTGCCTCGGTGCTGTCCGCGGACCAGATTTTTTCACCACAGATGGACCCTCAGTGTAATCATTGCTGCCGCGGATCGCCTTGATCTGGTCCAGCGACAAGATAGCTGTAGGCTGGCTCTCCCGCTCGTACTCCAGCCGCTGCCGGCTGTCCAGAGAGGGCTGCTGAATCACCACCAGCGAACCACCACTGCCGTGCTGGCTTTGGGGCTCCATCTGTAGTGATCTCTACTTCTGGCATTCAGCAGGAACCTGGCATGCATCTGAAATCCTACAATAATAACGAGAAGACAGGAGGTATAAATAAACATTGCTTGTGTACATATATACACGCATACACAAGATCAAGCACAAAAGAGGAACAAAGAACAGGATGCTGTCTGAAAATAAAAATGCTATAGCAAACCACAAATTGCCCGAGCCACCTGGTGCCGAACTCTTTCAGCAGGGGATTACAGCAACGCTGAGGATCTGGCCAAAGTCCAGCAGCGAGGAGAGCCCGGGCATGGCATCATAGGTGAGGAATGCTGGAGGAGACCCCTCGCCATTAAAATGAAAACTCAGAAAGAAAATAACTATAAAAATCACTATTAACCTGTGCACTAACTTGGCAAGCCATACAAGTGCGTGCTTCTCGCGTGCTACTGAACTTGGTGTCTACTTAGCAACACAGTTCTGCCTGCCCCCAAAACTAAGCTGGAAAGGGGAAAAAAGCACTGTCAAGTCAGCGCTCTGCTGGCAGAATGAAGGGCACACACAATCCTTGCATTTCTGCCTGGATCTACAGCACCAGAAAGCTGAAGAGATCTGCACTCCATTGCATTTGGGTACAGCTCCTCCTGGAAGCAAGTGTGCACACAGCAGAGCCTCAGAGTAAGTCAGGTGGACAAAGCATTTCCTACAGAAATTCAGCATCCAAACCTTACAAAATTAACATCTTCAGATACTTTCTCACCAAAGGGCAGAGAGTGAATATGGATACAAGAGTATAAGACAAGCTAAGTGTCTTAGCTAATCTAAGCTATAATAAAGTTCTTCACTGACTCTCTAGCTAAAGTGGATGAACAGATCCCTTCGTACAAGATAAACCAACCAAAAGCTTCCCAAACACAACCCTCACAGTTTATCTTTCAACTACTGACCCAAAGATTACAAACGCTGACCAGGAAAACTGCAGTGACAGCACTGCACCCGTTTAAGGGCTGCACGAGACCCACGTAAAAGCTGCCGCTCTTATACATAAAGCTAAGAAAATAAACTGCTTCCGCTTAAAAGAAAGCCCAGGACAATTCACTCCCCTTTCACCCCCACGAGGTGTCACACACAAACGCACAGTGGAGCGGACAGGCAGCACTAGCACACATGCTGCGGCCAGGGCAAGGAGCACGTCCCGCTCCCAGAGCGCAGGGCAGGCAGGCTCGCTGCAGCAGGTGGGGATGCATGTCCGCTGCCGACCACTCAGAGAAGCGGTACCCGTTCATAAGGATGCAAAAGTCCCCGCGCTCGTCTGCCCGGTAAAGATCGCAATTCATATTTAGGGTCAGCAGATGAAGGAAAAAAACATATGAAACGGTTCCACGCCACCGCGCTCTTTTCAATTCATCCCACACCACGAGCCGCGCTCTTCCCAGGAGCCGAACGCGAACCCGCGACACGCACCGAGCGTGAAGGGAGGTGAGAAGGGCGAGACGCACACGCAGCTGCGGCAGCCCGGATTGAGCTCCCGGGGGAGCAACACGCGATCTCCTCAGGAAACGCGACAGCCCCCGCTGCCTCCTCCGGGGGACGCGGACTGACAGCACCAGCTGCGGGCCGGGAGCGGAGAGAAGGTCAATCTCCAGCGTCAAAAGCGGCCGCCCCCCCGCCTGCGGCCAGGCGCACGAAGTAACACAGCGCACACGGGGCAGGAGAGCGCGGCGCTGCCCCCTTCCAGTCCCTCCCCGTCCCGCCCCGCTCCCGCGGAGCTCGGGCGGCCCCGGGCGGGCGGCGCGCGGCGCCCTCTGCGAGCGGAGCGGGGAGGAAGGAAGAGGAGGGGAATTAAAGGAAAAAAAAAAAAAAAAAAAAAAAAAAAAAAGTTATGAATGAAAACAAGGGCTGCCCCCCCTTCTGCGGGGGGAGGGCGCAGCCCGAGGTCGCCGCCGCCTCACGAGGGCGGACTTCCCGGCGTTTAAAGCGGCAGCGCCGGCACGGGGATTCCCCGCCGCCGGCTCCGGGGCCCCGCGCAGCCCCTCCAGGAGGCGGCCGTGCACTCCTTCTCGGGGCGCTTGGTCCCGCACGAGAGCCGCCCCGCAGCTCGGTCCCGTCCCGAGAGCGGACCCCAGCTTCCCGCCGCGTGGGTTCTGTCAGGGCGCCCTCCCGCCCGCTCCCCTCTTGCGGCGGCTTTCCCGGGGCACGGCGGTGCTGCAGGAGGCGGAGGGGGCGCGCGCGTGTGCCCGTGCCCGGCGGCACCTGCTCGGCTCCTGGCGCGTGCATGCCGCAGGCCCCCGCCTCCAGCTCCCCGCGGCTCAGACACCAGTCCCCAACGTGCTTCTCGCCACGCAGCCGCCGCTGACGGCGGCGCTGGCTGCAGCTCGGGCTGCCACAGATCGCGCCCGGCGGGCAGAGCACGAAGCCGCGTCGGGCGGCACCCAGCGAGCGCACCGCACGGCCGTCAACGCGCCGAGAAAGCCCTTTGCAGGCGCTCTGCACCAGCCGGGCTCTCTGAGCCGACCCTGCGGGTCGCTCTTCCTCCGCCGCTTCGGAGCTCATTCCCCGCGCCGCGCGCGGTCCTTGCAAACGGGCGCTGCGCCGCACCGCGCGGTCCTCGCCGCGGACGCGGAGCAGCCCGGAGCGCTGCGCTGCCATGTGCCCGCTGCCGAAGGCTGACACGCTGCGAGCGCGCCCGCACCCCGCGGCCCCCCTGCACCTGCCTCGGCCCCGCACGCCCGCGCTCACCTGAGGGCGAGGAGGCAGCCCGCTTCCCGAGGCACATTGGCGGCCGCGGCGCGGGGTCCAGCCCGGGCAGTGCAGGCAGCCGCGCGCCGCTCCGCGCCCTCCCGGTCCCGCCGCCGTGCCGGAGTGAGGGCGGCCGCGCTCCGCCGCCTTTCAGCGCGCAGCCCCCGCCCGCCGCCCGGCCGCGCCCCCGTGATGTCAATGTGTCACCGCGCGGCGCCCCCGAAATCCCGGAGTGGACTCCCGCGCCCTCCCGGGAGCTGCTCCCGCCGCTCGAGCCGAGGTCACGGCCGCCGGCCTCCTCCCTCCTTCCTTCCCTCTTTCCTTTCTTCCTTCCCTCCCTCCCTCCCGCCGCGGCCCTCGGGCGAGCTCGGGGCGGGGCAGCGCGGCGCCGCTCGGCACAGCCCCGGCCCAGCGCCTCCCGGCACGTGCTGAGGCCGCCCCCCCCCCCCGCCCGCAGCGTCAGGTGGCGGCACCGCCCGGCCGGCAGGGGGCGCCCTGCAAGAGGGCACTGCACGGCCCAGGAGGGTCCGGAGCTTCGTGCCCCGCTGCGCTCCGTCAGCCAATGACTTCAGAAAGCATTATGCTTATAATCCGTTACCCTTGTACCCATCCACTGGATGGAAGACCGCTCTTTGCAGGCAGGTACTGAAGCACTGGGGATTTACAGGGCTCACTCCTTGGCCTCACTGCCCTCCCAGGCCTGGCTCTGCAGATGTCCATGGGAAGTTTGGCACTTGTGGCCTTCCTACTATGATGATGGAGAGGGCGCAGCAATGCCTTCAAAGCCATTGTTGCCTTTGCTTAATGCTCTCTCTAATACATGCTATTGTTTGAGTAACTACAGAGCATTAAAAAGCAACTATACAGAGAAAAATCATGGAACGACTAAGGTTGGAAAAGACTTCTAAGGTCATCCAGTCCAACCATTAACCCATCCCCACCATAGCCACTAACCATGTCCCTCAGTGCCAGGTCCACATGGTCCTCTCCGGATGGTGACTCCATCTCCTCTCTGCGAGAAAAAGAAATGATAGAAAAAGAAATCAACATTTTGAGAGTTATAAACAATAACACAACATACTGGGATGTGTGAGACTGTTAGTACCTGGCTAACCATGCCCGAAGTCCCCAGCCTGGAGCACTGCAATCGGCTTTTTGCAGTCTTTCTCAGGAGACTGATATTCTGCCTCATTTTGTCCCAAAGCAAAAAATAAAAACACATTAAGAATACGCAAAGCAGCTTAGGAACCTTCACCCAAAAGCAAATCATTGTTACAGTGCCAGTACAAAAGTATTTTGCTGTCACATCTGTCTGCCCAGACCACACTCTCACGGTTCAATTGCATTAATCTAAGATTAACTAATCTTAATCTAAGATTGAGTTAATCTAGATTAATTGCATTAATCTTCACTAGGCTTGTGAAGAAAATGTCCAGGCTACACTTTTTGTTTCTGCTACTGTACTAAAAAAAAAAAAAAAAAAAAAAAAGGCTTCAACCATGAAATAAAAACATTTTTGCATTAAAGTTATATACTGAATATAATTACAAACTTAGAAGTAGTAAGAACAGGCGACTGATAAACACAAGCCACAAATACTGTCTTCCAGCTACAGAGGTTTCAGTGACATCAGCATGAAAATCTTAGGTACTGCCACAAAGATAGGCCAATTCATCATTGATATTGCTAGGGGAATTAGGCAGTGTGATTGCCCACCCAAACCATGCTCACCACTGTGAGCGGAAAGCAAAAAGCTATTTTCACTGAACCCCATCTGAAATTTGTGGAAACTATCGCTGCTCAAAATAACAATAAACCCTGCCGAACAACAAAAATTACTGTGGAACTGTAGTGCTTTGTAGGCCAGTACACTACATTTTAGATGTCTTTAGAAACAGCATTTCTGTATGTGTGCTCCATGCAGTAATTCTAATAGCAACATCGACTGTAGGAGCATCAGAGGCAGCAGGAGGCAAACTGCAGGCAGACTGCAGGTAACCATGCCGCTGGGGCCATACAGCCAAGAATACTGCACCTAGCAACCAGCTGTCTTCTCTTAGGAGGCAGAGTGCTTTTTTTCCTAGGAAACTGCTATAAAAACACTGCTAAACACCTTTTTTTTTTGCGCATCGCTAAAGCAGGTACAACCTTAAAAAGCTATGCCAAGCGTAACAGCTTAATTTTAGAAATACAATACAGGGCTTAAACGGGTGGCTAAAATAATCAAAAATACTGGCAACAGTCTACTATCACTTGGCACCAGAATCAACACTCCATTGAAACAAGGCAAAACCCTCCAGTTATATCAGGAGGCTCTCCACACATTCAAGCAAACATGCCTGCATCTCCTGCAAGTCATCTCAGATTTTTCTTGGAAATGATAGCAGTAAAAACTTTCATTAGAAAATGGAGAGCTAGAATTCTGGAGAATAAGTTGGCAACTTGGAAGAAGACTGACACACCTTATGACTACATTCTGGCACAACCTTGCTTTGAGGATTGACAGACAGACAGGAATCCAAGCTGTCCTGCAGGGAGCCTCTCTCTTATACTGACAATTAAAGGAGTCAATAGAGACCAGCCCTCTATGCACAGAGTTAATCCTCATGACAAACCTCTGAGAATTAGGTTCAAGAGACTGAATGATCGCTGATAGTCATGATTCAGCCCCTATTTCCACTTTCACTTGCGGGATAACTACAGATAATCTCCTCATTCTGCAGTCTTGTAGTGCTTCTCCCTGGTAGTGGATGGCTCATTTTTGTTTGCTTGTTTGTTTATTTTTCCTAATCCACACTTTCCTAACTCGCTTGATTGACTTTCATAGATTGTGAACCACACCTCTGTAAAGGTGAACTGTGATCCTCCCGCGACCTGTAATTAATAACAATGCTTCCATCCCATGAATATATAATATGAGTACCTTTATATATCCCCCAAGCAACATCTAGCCCATACTAAGGCACACATCCCAACTGAGAAGGGGGATGCATTCTCGGACCACACATCAGCACCTCACGCCTCCTCCTCAGCAGTATGAGGTTGCTTCATCTGCAAAAAGCAAAAGCCGTCCCATCTATCCTCACACGGTGTCATTTCAGACAAAACAGGTGTCCAACAGCCTATGCTTGAAGAATTCGATATTTACTGTTCCCATCACTCATCTTCTTTGGTGATAAGTATCTTAAGCCAATACGGCTTTGAGGAAACTCAGCAGAGAAAGTGTTTATCTTTGCACAAGTTATTTGTCAGTCACCTATGAACCTTCACAGCTGTAACAACAATTATAAAGTTATACAGGAATTTAAAAGCAATTAAAAAAACAACAATGCAGATTAGCATCTAAAGCCAGATACAATTAGAAGCAAAATTGCTGTGCCAGTCTCCTTACCTGTAGAACGTGTAAGTCATGCATTCACCCGTGCTGTGCAGAGGGAAGCTTGCAGAGGCTGTGAGGAAGAGCTGGGCTCTGCAGCTCCAAGGCCTGTGTGCGTCAGAAACACAAGAAAGTACTTTGCAGCTATCAGCACTGGGAAGCTCAGGACCCACAGTGTGCTCAGGGAATCTCTGAAATGGAGTGCAGTGAAACTGTGTGCTCTTGAGGAGAAGAATTCACCAGCACTGTGAATAGCTGTTGAGCACTGCTGTACTAATTGGACATTTTCCTATCAGCTCACTGGAAATCTCAGCAGCCCTGTCTGAAACATGGCATGAAATAAAGATGTTCCGAAGAGCCGAAGTGAAAATCATACCTGCGATAGTGGAGGCACACCTTGAAAGACACAGTGAACCATTCCAGGGTAGGAAAGAGAAAGTGAAGGAGGTTGTGAGGTTGTGTTTCCGATCATGCTTTCTGCTAGACAGGTTGACCTTTATCTGAGATCAAAGGGACCAGCGGCTGGGGATTTCTCCAGCTACCGTGCAA